CTTTAGGGTAGGAGCAGTCTTGGTACGAATGAGACGAACGCACCCAGAGGACATTGTTTGAGGTAAAATAAGCCGGGCACAGAAGGACAAGTCTGTGCAATTCCATTCATAGGTGGAGTGGAAAAAAATCCATGGAAGCTGACTGAAGAATTAATAACCTGGTGCATTAGAAATAGTTAGTGAGCACGCTGCTTTGAGAGAATGACTTTCCTGGCCCTCATCACCAGGCCCCTCGGGCCTCACAGGACCCCACAGGACCCCAGGTGTGTCACAGCACAGGTGAGCCGTCCCCATAGTGGCTGCTCGCTGCCCGGGCCACCGACTGGATGTTCACCGAGCCTGCTCTTTCCAATCAGTTCCACTGATTTCTATTTCAAGCTTTCTTTTCTGTGTATCAAAGAAACAATATAGTCAAACTGGGACTTCTCTGGCCTCTTGGTCAGACCAGTCCCATTCTGTTGTGACTGCCTCCTCCCCTCCATCCTAAGTGCGCATCACACCAGCGCCAAGGTGGTCTTTAGTCACGGGTCCCGCTACCCTTGGCAGGGTTTGCCCCGACGCACCCCGCAGACGGGACAGGTCTCTGCAGGTGTGACCGCCCCACTGCCAGGGGTAGGGCCAGGTGCCGTTCCAGGAAGGGAGGCTGCGGGGCAGCAGTTACAGGAAGGGGTCCATGGCTCCCCACCTCCAGCATTTGCCAGATGCCCGTTTTGGTGCTGCAGAACCTCTGCTGGGCACAGGCAGGCGGTTTCCTGGGCCCCGTTCCCTTTTCGGTCTATTGTGTATTTGAACGTTTGGAGGCCGGTTCTTCTTGCACCCTTGAGTCTCGGTGGGCAAATACACTGCAAATGGGACCACTGTTTCCATGTTGGTGCGGGAAGTCTGGGAAAGAAAGAATCCTCTTTCCCAGGTACCACTTCTGTCCCCTTGTCCCCCTCCGCCTCTGGAGCTGTGAAGGGGGCTGAGGCAGAGGGCTCTTGCCGCGGGTGCAAGCTTCCAGTACCCCACGGGCTGACGGGGTGCAGCTCCTTTGGGAGGGGCAGTGGGTGGCTGAGAGCGCGGCTGGCGGACTGGGCCTGCTTCTCTGTGTCGTGCTGGACTGTTTGATGTGGCACATGTGGGGCAGGCCTGGGAGTGACTGGTGCTTCCTGAGTGCACACGCGCGCTCGGACCTCCAGCATGCGGAGGCCCGGGCCAGACGAGAGGGGGTGGCTGGCGGGTTGGGTGATTTGTCCGTCCCGAGCTGCGGATGGGGGAAGGCCACTTGGCAGCCTGCAGGCGGCTGTGGCCTCTGTAGCACAGGGGAGGTGTCGGCTCTGCCCTGTGACCCCATGGGGGGTGTCACTGTGCCATCAATTGAGTTCCAGTGGGATGTGCCTAGGGCAGGAAATGGCACAGGGTCCCTGGGGACAGAGAATCTTTTAGCTCACGCTCTGGGTCCTGTACCCAGAGCTTTCTTGCTCCATTACCCCGCACCCTCATCTTGAGTTTTGGTAGAGAGAGCAGATGCCCTCAGAAGGTCCATGGGCAAAGAAGATTCTTTGTTTTACTCCTGCCTCAAAACTCCACTATTTTCCTGACAGGAGACCCTTAAAGGATGGCAGAGTCTGCTCTGGTCCCTCCTCGCCCTAGACACTGAAGTGTGCCCTTGCTGTTGTCATGGGTTCTCTGTGTGTCCATGTTGGGGTCCTGCAGTGTGAGTCTGGGAGGACGCCGGGGAGGTGAGGGGTGTGAGCACTGGCTCAGAGCACAGAGTGGAGAGCCCTGGCTCCGTGACACCGACAGCCCCTTCCTCTGCCGGTGTGATTTTGCCCTGCCAGTCTCCAGCACAGGCAGGATGGCAGGCCCCGGGGGAGGCTGGGATGGGAGTGGTGCATGCCTGGCCCTAACTGTGCCCTGGAGGACACCTAGGCTTCCACGCCGGGGTCCTGAGGTTTTGTCTCAAGATTGTGGACTCAGAAGTGAGCAGTGAGTCCCTCACCGTGGAGCTGGAGTGAAGCCACAAGGCGCTCACTTTGGAGATCCACGCCTGGCTTTCTTGGGGGCAGCCCTGGCCTCTGGTACCCTACTGGAAGGGACTCGAGGTGCTTCTCCCTGAAAGGCAAGAGGGATGCTGTGTGAATGGGGCCTGCTTTGGCAGGCTTGTCCCACGTACACCCCAGTGCTTGGGGCTGCACGAGGTTGCCAGCTGACCACTAGGCAGGGGCGGTCTCACCTGCCCAAGGAGCTGCCCCTGCCATCTGCCTGCCTTGTGTTGGCTGCTCCCCCCACCATGCGGTGGCCTCTGAATTAGTGGTCTGGATGTTCGTGTCTCAGCGGCTCAGAGGTGGCCTGCAGGCTCTGCTCTGTCTGACCCCCACCCGCTGCCCGCCTCGGGGCAGTGCCCAAGTCAGTGCGGCCTATCAAGTGAACGGGCTCCTCACCCCCACTGACCATCGTGCTCTGGGCAGCAGGTGGGGCCGTGGGGCTGGCTGTGGAGGGACTTGACCTTCTCTGCCTTCAAAGTGCACTGAGGCCAGAAGCGGTTTCCAGGAGCAGGGGACCAGCTAGCTGCTAGGCTGCCTGGGATTCCACCTGCCCCCTCGAAGGGGCTGCGCTCCAGGCTGGTAATGGAGGGTTGTCAGGACCGCACAGGGGTCCTGCCGGGTGCACTCTCCAGATCGCATGCTTTGCAGCACCCAGGGAAGTCACCTGAGGTCACCGCAGCCTGATCCTGTGGCTGAGAGCAGCCGGCATGCACCCAGAGCCCCACTCTTGTCAGGCCAAGGCCCTCTTTGCTGTGTTCTTGGTAAAAAAAAAGCAAATGATTCAGAGGTTTAGGGGCTGCCACCAGTTGTCTTGTGGGGTTGGATCAGCACCTGGACCTGCAGGGCCCCCAGGGAAGAGGAAGGAGGTGGCACCCACCAGACAGTGCTCCCCACCACCTGCTTCCAGCAGCTGCATTCCCGCTGGAGACGGCCCTGGGCACCCTGGGCAGAGGCTGGGAACCTGAGAAGGGCGGGCCTGGAGGCCTGAGATGCAGGGAATCCTTGCTTAGCCTGCCCTGCACCCCAGCGGTCCGGACCCCTGGTATGGAAGCAGGGCGGCCACTGGCTGCTTCCCTTCCTAATCTGTCATCTCCATCTCCTGACACTTTTATTTTTCTTGGGCCCAGCCTTAAGACTTGGCTGCAGGTCACACCCGACAGATCCAGCATTGCAGGCCTTCAAAGCCAATGTCCACTTCCTCTGGGACTGGCCACCTGCCTGTGCTTTGGTTTGTTCCTCTGTACAAAGGAGATTTAAACAGCCTCACTGGGAGGGCTCTTGGGCTGGAAAGTGAGGAGGTTGTGAGTGCAGCCAGCAAAAGCGCCTGCTGCCTGCTGCCCGAGTGTATCAGTCAGTACTTACTAGAGGCGACAAGATTTAATACAAGATACACAAATGTATAAGAACTTCCAGGATTGCTATCCAGTGGCCGCCCACAGAGTGGGGTGTGGAAGAGAGCAGAAAGGCCATCTGTGCACTGGAGACCCGAAGGATCCGGTTACCCGTCGAAGGCCTGGAGCTCACTGCAGTGTCCTGGGCGAGTCCATATCAGGAGGCTGAAGGGTCTGTGCTGGAAGCCAGGAGACGATGTCCACGGTGACGGAGGAGACTGCAGCCCCTGCGAGGAGACAGAAGCGAGCCTGCCTTCCTTGTTTCCCCTGTGTACCATTCTTGTGATAATCCTCCCCTCTGAGCAATGCCGAGTCGTTTAGTTGGGCTTCACTTACTCAGGCTGACACGTCAATCCACCACCACCCTGGAACAGAAGAGCAGCGGCCATGGGGCAGTGGCATCTGGCTGTTTTTGGGTAGAGTGAAACTTGAAAGGTGCGTGCTGGGACCAGCCTGCCCGTGTTCGTTCCTGCCTCCTGGACTCCAGGCCACCCCTGGGGCCCCGGGCCTGGCTCTCTTGGCTTGGGCCACACTCTTGGCTTGCTTCTGCTGCTGGCCTCCCCAATGGGGCCACTATAGTTTTCCGCCCTCTGGTCTGCACCCCACACCGCCCACCAGCCCGGGCAGACCTGCAGCTGCATGGTGAGGCCCAGGGGGTGGGGGCTGCTGCAGGGCTTCTCCTGTCTCAGGAGCTCTGTGACCTTCCAGCCGCACGGATGTCAGGGCCCGGGCTCTGACACCAGCCCCTTGGTGGCCATGGAGTCGCCAACCATGGCTGGGGCAGGTGGGATTTGGCCAGCGTGAGAGTCAGCACAGCCCTCAGAGCACAGGCAGGCTTCAGGGGCTGCTGGGGATGGCGTAACGCCCAGTCAGGCACTGAGGGGCCTCCGTCTTTCCTTCCTTCTGCAGCTGCTGACTTTTTGTTAGCTTGTAGTGACTCTACCTGCCCCACAAGACCGCTCTGTTGGAGCAATATGTCTGTCTTGGCCTGACTGTTGATTTACGTACGTCCAACTGGAACCAAGTCAAATTGAAGGCAAAAGAGTAGATGGGACTGGCCCAGAAGTGGCACAGGTGTAGGGCACAGCGTCGTCTCATCGTCAGGGGGCGCTTCTGTCCCTCTGCACCCCCAGAGAAGGGGTCGTCTTCCTGGGGTTGACAGCAAGCCGTCCCCATTTTGGAGGGGCATAGGTGGGTCAGGGCGCTGGGCTGGGTGCCCAGGCAGCTCCCACAGGAGAGGGGTGGGCACCCTCTGGGGTCCCTGGGTCTGAGAGGACCGTGTCCCCTCCAGAGCGTTCGTCAGTCCTGAAGCCGGGAGCACGGACTGGATTATGTGGAGAATGGGTGGCCGTGAGAGGAGGAAGGCTGGGCTCTGAGAGGACCCTGCGTCACGGGAGGTGGTGGGCGTGGGGCGCAGATGCACAGGCGGGGACCGCAGGAGCTGATGGAGGCGGATGGGGGCGATGAGTCTCCAAGCTGAGGAGCCCAAGGAGACCAGCGACCGTGACAGGCTGGGAGCAGCCTGGACAGTCGTGCTCAGAGCCTCGGAGGGCACCGGCCTCGGACACCTGATGGGGGCGATGAGTCTCCAAGCTGAGGAGCCCAAGGAGACCAGCGACCGTGACAGGCTGGGAGCAGCCTGGACAGTCGTGCTCAGAGCCTCGGAGGGCACCGGCCCCTCGGACACCGTGACATAGCACCTCTGGGCCCCAGCCCCAGAGAGCCCCAGGGTGGGGACTCGTGACAGCAGCTGTAGGACGCTCGCCTCCTCAGCATGTGGGTGTTAGATGCTAAAGCCAGGGCGATCTCAAACACACAGCGCGGCCAGTCAGCACGCAGTGTCTGCCACATTATCTTTTATTTATTTGTAATTGTTGTGGGTGTTGTGAGACAAGGTCTCTCTGACTTTGAATTCCTCCTGCCTCAGCCTCCCCACATCTGTATTACAAGCGTGCACTGCTGCGCCCTCCACCATGTCTTGAGATGCGGTTGGAACATGTGAGTCTGCTCCGGCTGGGGCGGCTCTTCAGTTGCTCTGATGGCGAGGCTGTACCTGCTCTGTGTCACGCGGTCCCCTCCACCCCGCTGTCCCTTTGGTGTGCAGCTTTGTGTAGAGTGCGGGTCCCGACATTCAGGGAGGGGAGGGACAGATGCACTTGGCCTCAGCCGTCTGGGCAGCCCCGGGTGCCCTCATCGCAGCCTCCCCCGCTCTGGAACCAGATGTCTCCACCGGGCCCTCGGAGGGTCGCACGGATGGCCTGGCTTCCAGCTGGAAAATGCCAGGAGTGACAAAGACCAAGTGGCCTTCGCCTCCGTGGTGCTTATTGGTGGCCTGGAGACACGGTGGCTCCAGGTAGGGAAGAACCGCCGACAGCCGGATGGCACTGTCCCTGGGGGCAGAGCAGGGCCACCCCAGGGTAGAGTGTGGGCTCCTTCACTTTCCCTTCTTTGCCCAGTTTTTACCAGGACCAAACGAACAAACCCACGACTACCAAGCCTGGAGATGCCCAAGACCAGGGAAGCCCGCCCCTCACCCCTCTAGGGCCCGCAGACGCCACTCCCTGAAGGCAGGGCAGGGCGGGGCGCAGCTGAGGCCCTGGGTCTCCCCAGCTCCAACACAGGCGCTGCAGCTGAGGTCACAAGCTGGGTCGTTTGAGGCTGCACCGTGGCTCTGGCCCTGGCTCTCCTGCCCTCACTGCTGTGTTCATTGCAGAAACCCTGAGTAGCCCCAGCACCCTCTACCATCTTGGCCAGCCAGACTGGTGCGGATGGATGTCGGGGCCAGGCTGCTCCTATATATATAGTATTTTTATGTACCCTTTTCAAGATTTACATTTTCAGTTTGTAAGGTTCAGAATTCTCTGACCAAAATCTTATTTGTGTACCGAGTTTGTATCCCCCACTCTTATGATGGTCTCACCAGAGATTTGCTTAAAACTGTGATGCTGCAAACACTTGTGCTCCTCTCCCTCCATATCCAAATCTTGGTGCCTGTAATATATAGTATTTTTATGTACCCTTTTCAAGATTTACATTTTCAGTTTGTAAGGTTCAGAATTCTCTGACCAAAATCTTATTTGTGTACCGAGTTTGTATCCCCCACTCTTATGATGGTCTCACCAGAGATTTGCTTAAAACTGTGATGCTGCAAACACTTGTGCTCCTCTCCCTCCATATCCAAATCTTGGTGCCTGTACAATATTACACATTAGTCTGGAGATTTGCCTTACAAAGGAAATAAAATATGATAATGCACAATTTTTAGTATAAGAAATGAGATGAAACATGCTAAATCCTCATTTGTTAATTTTAGTTCCCTACTTCGGTTCAACTTCCTGTACTGCTTTCAGACAGGTGCATGCAAAACTAGCAGATCATGAAATTTTAAATACTATCGTCTGACAACGCTTAGGCATTACGAATACAACTGTCTATGAGTCCTGGTCTAACAGTTATTTCTACTTTAACAGAAACCTCAAGACACCACATAATAAATTCACAGAGATGTCATGACCGTCTTTCCTAAACGTGTGGGGTCTGCATCTGATCGTCGTGCACCGATCATTTAAAAAACAAAACCAAATAGGCGCTTGACCTGGAAGAGTGCTGTAGAGTCTGTTCTGAGAACGGAGTAAGGAGAGCTAAGGTGAACCATGAAAGCCTCATCCATCATCCTGCTGAGGATGCATTTGCGCAGCCCCCACCCTTGAATCAAGACCCCTGAAGCTCACTACCTTTAAAAATTTTGAAAAGTAATCAAGGTATCAGTACCTTCCCTTCTCTTTCCAAGTAGCTAAAAGATCAAGGAGAAAAAGTACCAATGTGTAAAATATTATCAACTGTTTAAGAAGCCCTCATCCATTTGATAGTTTAGGGTTAAGTAGGAAGAAAGGGCGAATCCGATCTGAGTAATAAATAGGGGTGCTCCAAGCGGTGTACTCCCTGCCCAGGTGGGGGCTGTACCAGACGACCACCTACTCCCCCGCCCATGGCTCTGAAACCGGCACAGTGCTGTGTGCCCTGACACCGCCCGCCAGAGCTCCAGGACGAAGCTCCGCGCCCCTAACAAGGAGTGCTCTTCAGCTGGACTCCGTCCAAACAGCCCCTCGGTGGCTGCGGACGTGGGAACTGCAGTAGCTGTGCGCCGTGAAATCATCCAAACCAACTTCTTAGGGTCTGGTCTGTGGCATTCCGGAGGATACGCGGGTAGGCTTTTGAGCTAACTCCCTCCAGTCAAGAGCTCACGTCATTCATGGCGCAGCGTTTTTTAACAAGCAGGAGCATTTCCAGTAATTCAACAGATTTTCAAGTTTCTACTTCCAAATCGAGCAGGCACAAAGCTATCCCACGCGGGATAGCTTCTGAAAAGAATAGTGGGCAGTTGCAAGCTCTCAGCTGAGCTGGTGGTTGATCAATGCTCAGTATTTCTTTCCTCTCTCAAGTGTGACAAAGTACAGTCATTTGATAAAAGTGCAACAAGTTTAAGGCAGTAGTAGCTTCCAATTCATCATGCGATTTTTGTGAAGTTCTTTCTTCTATCCGTTTTATGTCGGGAGCAGTAATTAATGCCAGCTAATCCAGACCACTTCAGGAATGGGGGGACCAGTGCATTCTTTGTCAGCCACTGCAGCAGCCCCAGTGTGAGATCAGTTTGGGTTCTGCCTGCCTCAGAGGCAAGAACCTGTCCAAGACCTTGACAGCCGGGAGCAAAATTTCAGTGCTAGAGCCAGAAAAGTGAAACTCTTAAATCGCCTGCTTCGACGTTCCCTGGGTCGTAGCCTGTGTCGAGCTCGGCCCCTTTTCTCCATCTTGGAATCTCTGTCCTTGTCATAGGTAGAAGCTGAACAAGCTGGACTCCTTCATGATCTGCCAAGTGCTCAAGACCCTTGGTGTCTTGAGAGAAAGGCCGTGTGTGTGTGTGTGTGTGTGTGTGTGTGTGTGTGTCTGTCTGTCTCTCTTTTTGAATGTGCATGCATGCGCAGGGGGTGTTTACCATTTCAAAGGCTCTTATCTCTCTGCAGTGTGTTTTTGGTGTGTATAAAAGTAATGTATGCTCACTATATAAATAGAATCATACTTCGTGTTAACATATTTATCTGTTGTATTTGAAATATGTGTTCATGCATTATGCTTTCCATATGTATAAAACTAATGCATACTTATGGGGAAAACTGGTCAGTTGTCTTTTAAATTTTTTAATATATTATGTTTTCCATATATATAGTCTATATAAAAAAGTAACATGCTCACAGTAAAAACTGTTTGTAAAATTGAATATAATTTATGAAGAGTAAAGAGCCTGGGTCTTAAGGAAATAGCACAATATATTTTCACATATGTCTGCGTACTTTGTTGTACCGGGGATTGAATCTTTACTCTGAACTATATCCTCTCCCTTTTTAATTTTACTTTTTTGGGGGGGTTTTTTTGAGACAGGATCTTGCTGTATAGTTTAGGCTGGCTTTGAACTCACTATGTAAACCAGGCTGGGTTTGAATTCACAGTGAGATTCTTCTGCCTCAGCCTCCCTCAGGCACACACCACCATGCCGCACTTCTCACTACTCCTGTTAAACATAGTACTCAAACATTAGCAAGAGCAGTTAGGCAAAAAATACAAGGTATATGTATAGGAAAGGAACAAATCAAATTATAATGACTGCAGAGGACATGATTCTCTACATAGAAAACACAAAATCCTCCAGAAGACTCTCAGAATAACCAAATTCAGTAATGTTGCAGGGTACAAAATCAGTACCCAAAAATCAATAGCATTTCTTCTGCACACTAATAATGAACCTACTGAGAGAGAAATTAGGAAAAACAACCATCATAATAATGCCAAGAAAAATAAAATCTTTAGGAATTAACCTAAGGAGGTGAAAGACCTCTACAATGAAAATACAGTATTCTGAAAAAGGAAATTGAAGAGGACATCAGAAAAAGGAGAGATAAGCCTCCGTTTCTGCGTAGGCATAACCAGTATACTCAAAATGACCGTACTTCCAAAACTGATACCCAGATATAATGCAACCCCAATCAAAATATGAACAATATTTTCACAGAAATGAAGAAAAAAAATCCCAGAATTTATATGGAACAGGGAACAGAACAGCAAAAGAAATTCTGGGTAACAAGAGCCAAGCAAGAGGCATCATAATCTTAGACTTGAAGTTATAACACGAAGGTACAATGATGAAAAGAGCGTGGTGTTGGCACAAAAACAGACACGAAGATCAGCGGAGCCGAACAGAGGATGCAGAAACAATCCCAAGCGCAGCAACTCAGGGCCTGGAGCTAAACCCTCGACCCCGGACAGCCTCTCTAATAAATGGTGCTGGGAAAACTGGGTCTCCGTATACAGAAGATTGAGTCTAGACCCATCTCTCTCACGCTGCACAAAATGAAAATGAAAATGGACTAAAGAACTAAACACCTAACCTGCTGGAAGATAAATTGGATAAAATTCTTAGTTATAGGATAGGTGAGGACTTTGTGAACAGAACCTCAGGTGCACACGAAATAGTACTGAGACTCAACAAATAGAATTGCATCAGATTGGGCCAGGGCTTTGGCTTGGTGGCACCACAGCTGCCTTGCAAAGTCCTGAGTTGGTGCGCTTGGGATTGTTTTTGTGTCCTCTGTTCTGTTCCGGTGATCTTCCTGTTTTTGTACCGACACCACTCTCTTTTCATCATTGTACCTTTGTACTATAACTTCAAGTCCAAGACTGTGATGCCTCTTGCTCAGCTCTTGTTACTCAGAACGATCCGTTTTGGCTTATAATTTCACTTTGTCTGGATATAGTATTTGCCCTTTTTTTTTTTTTTTTTTTTTTTTTTTTTTTTTTTTTTGGAGTTCCCATTGCATGGAATTTTGTTTTCTATCCTTTCACTTTTAGTCTGATTTTCTTTTCAGATTAAATGCATTTCTTGTATATAGCATATTGGTGAATTTTGTTTCTTGATCCATTCTGTCAGTCTGTTTTTATATTTGGGAATTAAGACCCCGTACTTTGAGAGTTATTAGTGATAGGTAATATTCCCGTTGTTACCTTATTTTTTGTTGTTAATTTCCTGTCTTTCCCTTCTATTGAACTGCTTCCTCTACCTGGTGTAGACCTTTTACTGTTACGCTAGATTATGAATTTCTTTAGGCGCTCTTTATCATGAAAGTATCTTATTTCTCTATCAATTTTGAAAGATAGTTGGGCGTGGTGGCGCATGCCTGCAATCCCAGAACTCAGGAGGCTTAGACAGGAGGATCACTGCAAATTCAAGGCCAGCTGGGACTATATAGTGAGTTTAAGGCCAGCCTTTGAGACCGTGTCTACCCCTGCCCCCCAAAAATTTGCCGGATATATCAGGCTAGGCTGGAGTTTGTTTTGTGTTAGAGTTTAAACACTTCGCTCCAAGTTCTCCTGGCCTGTAAGGTTTGTGTTGAGAAGTCTGCTATAATTCTAATGGGTTACTGTTACAAGTGATTTGTTGCTCTTTTAACTGTTTTTAAGATTCTGTTCTTACATTGAACTTTTGATTATAAGTCATAGAGAGTTTCTTCTCTGATTGTGCTTATTTGGGGTTCTGTATGTATCACTTAACTGTATGTTGATTCTTTTCCCTTAGTTGGAAATTTTTCTGCTATTATTCCAGTAAATAAGTTTTTATGTTATTTATGTTGTCTTTTGATTTTTCACTAATTCTAGTTAATCTTAGATTAATCTTCTGTGTCATCTAGGAGCCATTGGATCCATTTTTCATGTTCTCTCTCTTTTTTTTTTGGTACTGGAGTGCAAACTCGGGCCCTTGTGCTTTTGAGGCAGGTGGTGGAACCACTGAGCCAAACCCCCGGCTCTCATGTTCTCTTCTTGTTTTTACGGTATCTCTATTAACTGGACACTGGCAACAGCTCTGTCTTCTGTTTCCCACACGACGTCCTCACTTTGGTCACTTCTGCCCATAGTTTTTCTTTTCTTTTTTTGCAGTATCAGCGATTCAGTTTAGGACCTGGTGCTAGTGAGGCAGGTGTGGTGCCACTGAGCTAAATCCCTAGCCCTACCTGTAGTTTGGATAGTATTTCTTTGTTTTTTTTTTTTAAATTTTATTGAGTTTATTGGTACATTTAGGGATACAGTACAATTACATTCATTGTTGGGATCATGTACCTTTACATATCAAGTCTTGATTCTCATTTTTTCCCCTTACCTCTGACCTCCCTTCACCCCCTCCTCCTCTCCCCATCTACAAACACTTTATTTTCATCTTTTCATTCTCTCACATTTTTTTCTTTTCCCTTTTTGTTCTTCCCCTTTTTGTTCTTCCCCTATTGTTTTGTTTTTTTGAGACAGGATCTAACTGTATAGTTGAAACTGACCTGGAACTCACTAGGTAGCCCAGGTTGGTCTTGAACTCACAGTGATCCTCCTGCCTCAGCATCCCTAGTGCTGGGATTACAGGCGTGTGACACCACATCCAGCTTTTTGGATAGTATTTCTAATCTCCCGAATTTCCCTTTAGAGCTTTTTATTGACTCTGATTTTTCTCTTTTTTGCTGGCCATTCATGTTTGACATTGCTTTGTTTAGCTCAGCTAGCTTTTTATTGGAGTCTGCTGTAGACTTGCTGATCTCCCCCCTAGTATCTGTGTACCCTTGTCTTCTGAGAGCTTGCCAGGTGCCTTCCTGGTCTGTTTTGTATGCCCTATGATAGCATTTCAAATCACCCAGGTTGGTTTCCTTTCTTCAATGTCCCATGGGTCAGCTTTGGGAGAGGTGGGAGTTTTAGAGGCATTTTGTTGGTTTGTCATTTCATGTTTCTACTTTTTTGGTTTGTTTTTGTGTCAAGGCTTCAGGTTGATTGTAATGGACAGCTTTGTTTCTAATAGAGACCTCTTTAATTTCTACTCTTCAGTGGTGTCCTCTGGCTGTGCGTAACTGTTGTCCTTTGCCTCCGGCACAAGGTTTATTTGGGATGGGAGGTCATAGAGCATTTAGCCCAGTACCCAGTACCACAGGAATGGGCCACATTATGGTTAATGACCCAAGGTAATCCAGATGTTGGCATCCCAAGAAAACCAATAATAGCAACAAATATTTTACCTTGGTTATAGTAGTAAAATCAACATCAATTAATTACAGTGTCAAAAACTGAGTATTGACAAGCCATAAGAACCAATAACGGGGCCGGGGATTTAGCTCAGTGGTTCTGCCGCCTGCCTTGCAAGCACAAGGGCCCTAGTTTGATCCCCGGTACCACCACACTTCACCATAGAAGAAATATGAATACTAAAACCAAATGTTGGCCGACTATTGACTTGTAATAGTAAATATCTCCTAAATGGATCAACTTTACCTCTATTAGAAATAAAACAGAATCCAGCAATAGCCTAACATTTACCAGCTATCTCGAGATTCATAAAGCTTATTAGTTATACTAGTAAAAGTGGAGAGAAAAGGAAAGTAGAGAGAGAATGAAAAGAGCAAAATTTGAGAAATTAGTCAGTGGGATGCAAGGAGGAGGAGAAAAGGGTGAGATTGGGGCTCTGCTGAGGAGCAAAAGGAAATTAACAGTGTTAGAGGACAGTGGCAGGGAAGAACACGAAGAAAAAAGATACAACGGAATGAGAAATTCTACAAGAAATTCTTAAAGAATTTAGAAATAAAAGAAAATAAGGAAGAGAAAACTTGAAAAAGGAAGAGAGGAAAGGGGAGAAAATAAACCTTGAGAAGGGGAAAAAAAGACAGGAAAAACTCCAACCCCCCAGAAAACCCAAAGTGGGAAACATAGAAATGATAAAATATAGGGAGAAAAAACATGGAGTCCAAGCAAAGTATTATGTTTCTGAATGAGTAGTTTCTTTTCTGCAGTCTTGGATCCAGCCACTCATAATGTCCTCCACCTAGCTTTAGGGCCTTCTGCTCCAGAGGCCTCTCTGTCCGTTCACCCCAGACTCTGGTCACTGTCCAATCCACTGTGTCCGCGCTCCCACGGGTGGGTGGGAGATGAGACCAGCCTTCTGGTCTCTGCTGGATGTGGGTTCCGAGGTGGGGGTTCCAGTGGACTGCTGGGCAATGCGGGCAGTCAGGGTCTGGTGGCTCTCTTTTCTCCCTGCGTGTTGTTCTTGTCCAGGATCAGGTGGGTTGGTGAATGAGTTCTTGTCTCTTCTGTCCTGTGCCAAGGGGAGGTAAAATGCAGAGCCATCTTGGAGTTGGCTGGTGGCCTTGCCCTCGCATCAGGGTGAGGGGCCCGCGCGAGGGTGCTGCCCCATACCGGCGTGCTTGCTTGTTGGGAGGGGCGCCGTGCAGCCCGAGTGGGCTTGCTTGCTGCAGTTGGAGAGACAGTATTGATTCTTTTCTATCTGGCGTATTTTACTTAGCATCAGTTTGTAAGATTCACAGAATTCTTTTTTTTTTTTTTTGCAGACTAATATTTCACTGCCTTTTCTGGTGGTACTGAGGACTGAGCTTGTGGCCTCAGGCATGGTAGGTAAGAGCTCTTTTCACATTTCTCCTTGATGTGAAATTTGTACATCGAAGGTGTGTAAAATTTGGCAGACAAGACAAAGCAGCCTAGTAGAAAGCTTTTGCCCACACTGATCAACACGAGGTGGGAACACTTGTTTTCCCTCCCCTGAAGCATGTGATTTCCCAGAATGTCCGGGCGTCTCTCATCTTCTCCGTGCTTCTGACTGAGGACTGGGGCTCCCGTGGGTTCTGGTGAGGGCCGGGAGTCTCCTCAGAGCAGAGACACGGCCAGGCTGCTCCTGCCTGCTTTGTGTCCCCACCAGCCCCGTGTTCGCGAATTGACTGGAGGACAGCACTGTGCGAGGCCCGCTGGGCAAATCCTGTCTTGATCCCAGAAGTGGACACTGCTTTTAGACATATTTTTGTGGGGTCCCAGAAACTGACTTTTTTTTTTTTTTTTTGGTACCGGGGATTGAACTTGGGTCTTTGTGCTTGCAAGGCAGGCCACCGAACCGCTGAGCTAAATCCCCGGCCTAGAAACTGACTTTTTAAAGCAGTGATAAAATACACATAACATAAAATTTGCCACTTTAACCCCCTGAGGTGTAAAGTGCAGTGGGATCTCATATATCACAATGGTTTGTAACGTTCACTACTCTGTAGCTCCAGAATATCCCCTTACACTGTATCCATTAAGTCCCTTCCCATTTCCCCTCTCTCCAGCCTCTGGCAACTCCCAGTTTGTTTCTATTTCTATGGCTTTACTTATCCTGGACATTTTATATAAATGGAATCATGTGATATACGGCTTTTTGGGTCCCACCTCTCTCCCTTACCATCCTATTTTAAAGGTTTACTCATGTTATAGCACGAATCAGTGTTTCACTCCTTTTCATCACTGAATAATATTCCACGGTGTGGGTGGCACATTTTGTATATCTGTTGAGATGGATGTTTGGGTTGTTCCCACCCTTTGGCTGTTACCAGTAATGTTATCATTAACATTCATGTTCTTTTGCTTAACACCTGCTTTTCATTTCTTTGGGCATATGGACCTGGGGGTGGAATTACTAGATCATACAGTAATTTACAGTTTTATTGAGAAAATGTCAAACTATTTTCATAGCAGCTGCACCATTTTACCTTCCTAGCAGCAATCTGTGAGTGTTCCAGCTGTGTCACAGCCTCTCTGACACTTATCTTCCTTTAAAAGAAAAGTATAGGCAGCACATGCCTATAATCCCAGCAACTTGAGAGGCTGAGATACATCATGAGTTTGAGGCCAGCCTGGACTACAGAGAAAGACTCCGTTTCTCTCTCTTAAAAAAAAATGAGGGCTGGGTATTTAGCTCAGTGGCACCACACCTGCCTTGCTATTGCAAGGTCCTGAGTTCGATTCCCTGGTGCACACACACAAAAGTGCCTGTAGATATATAGCGACTAGATCTAGATGTCTCCCCTCCCCGCTAAGCCGCATGTGCTCATAGGTGGGGCTTCTGTGAGTGCCTGGATCAGGGATGTGTGGTACTGGGTCAGTACACTGATGGGTTCGTCTTCACCGACCGTGCCCATGCACAAGCTGCCCTCCTCCAGGCCTTGGGTTCTCATCTGCCGCAGCTCAGTGGCTCACAGCCCTTGAAAGCGTTTGGAGGGTGTTCAGCCCCTTGGCACTGTGGAAAGTTGATGTCTACAGTGTTTTCCCCACCAGGTTAACAAGGGTGAAGTCTGTGACTCCTGCTGCACTGTCAACGTGGACGTTTTACAAATGAAAGTACTCTGTGGGCTCCCAGTGTCCCTGGGAGGTCCAGCTCCTCACTAAAAAACAAACCACACCCTCAGCCCAGCACCCTGAGGTAAACCCCAAACCAGAAACCACCCGCAATGAGGTATTGGTGCACTCGTGTGGGCGTGGACTCCGTGGGTGAGAGTCCCAGCTCTTCCTGTCACATGGTCCAGCCTTAGGGACGGCAAGGTCAGGACAGGTGAACGGGACTTAGGTCCCCTGGGTTTGCTGATAACTTTTTGCTTCTAAATACTCGTTAACATTTGTGTTTGGCAGTGACCACGTCTTCCTGAAGCCCGAGTCCTTTGCCCTCTCTGCAAGAAAATTTTCTTTTCCTAAATGTACCTTCCTGAGTTTGTCTAATTTTAAACTCTTTTCTAATCATATGTAGCAAATGAGGAGCAGCTAATGCTGCGGTGTAAGCCCAGAACACCCAGTTGAAGGACAAGTTCTTAGTTCTTTTCTCCTGCACACCTGGTTTCTGACTCGTTTCTTCGGCAAACTTTATTAACAAAACTGTGTGCACGCTTGAAAGGATTCCTGATCACCCTGGCGTACGTGTGACACGAACATGTTGCCACTTAAATTTAGCTTTAGTTCCCCTGACCCTAAGGCTCTCAGTATTTACAAAAAATTTTGATTATAGCTGAAGTTTGAAGCAGCATAAATACATTAAAACCGAGACATTATCGTTTTGAAAGTTAAATAATTGCCAGACTCTACCTCTTAGGGAGAAGGATGGGGCTGTGTGTTTATGTATCACTGGATGGAAATTATGAGATGAGCTCTAAATTTCATCCCTGCTTTTTGTTTCTGTTTGTGGATTGAACCCCGGGATTTGACGCTGGGTGGCACTCCACTTGCATGTGTGCATGCGTGTGCATGTGTGTAAGTGTGCACATATGCACGTAGGCATGAGTGTATGTATTTATACAGGGTCTCACTAAGTCTCTGGGCTCAAACTTGCCATGGTCCTACCTCAGCCTGTACGAGTGCTAGGATTATGGCCCTGCCAGACTGTTTGGTTTTCGGTGTAGATTAAGGTAAGAAAACTTGCTTATATTAAATTCATTCATGGCAGAGGCATAGTTCTGTTACAGCTCTGCCCTCTGCTCTTCTCTGGGGATGGAAGCCAAAAGCCACACTGCAGTTGTCACCGCAGATGTCACCAGACCTTTTGCCGAGTGGGTTTTCCCTCAGGACGGTTGCCCTTGTCAGGACCGTGGCTCCTAACGGGACCGGTGTGGGGCGCCTCGCCCTCCTCCTCAGCCTTCCCTTCCTCAGCCAAGTGGGACGAGGGCCCCTTTCAGAGGGTACAGCGGGTCCCAAGGCCCTGCCACTCATAGGCCTTGAGGTCCACGCGCCCTGCCGGCGGGACAGGGACACCGCGGCCCCGCTGGATTCTCAGCGCCAGGCCCCGGGTATAGGGATGCCGGTGGGGTGCGCAGGTCTGGGGCAGCGGGGCCCAGGACGGCCGCG